GATATTAAAGTTTACAATTGTACTAATGAGAGCGCGCCTATAGAAAGAATAGAAACGGCTCTTGGTATAGCCCGGCCCAGTTTGTCGAATGTTGTCAAACGATGGATATGCCGGCAGGAGATGCAAGAAGCGAAGCGCGTCGTTGCTTAGCGCTCGGCGTCGTCGCTCACACGTCTCACCGCACCGCATCAAAGGACTCGCGCGATGGCCGCTACGCATATTCGTGATTACATTACATACGTAATAATAACACTGCAAAAATAGGACAAATACAAACCATAATACTTCGATGAATAAAAATGTCGAAAGAGAAAAAGCGATGAAACCTATGGAAATCTAATTAATTTCTATTGTAATCTGTCGCTTCTCTAAATCGAAAGGAAAAAATTTTAAGAAAAAAAGTATCCGAAAGAAATAATATCATGAAATAATATCGTTAGAAATAACATCACTAGAAACAATATCATTAGAAATAATATCATTAAAAATAATATCATTCATTGATATTTCATCGTATTCTGATGAAATCACATACTCTCCTAACAGGAAACGGTAGAGAATGATGGAGAATGATATTATTTCTTTCGGATACATTTTTCTTAAAATTGTTTCCTTTCGATTTAGAGAAGCGACAGATTACGATAGAAATTAATTAGATTTTCCGTAGATTTCCATAGGTTTCATCGCTTTCTCTCTTTCGACATTTTTATTCATCGAAGTTTATTATGGTTTGCATTTGTTCTATTTTTGCAGTGTTATTACATATGTAATGTAATCGCGAATGTGCGTAGTGGCCATCGCGCGAGTCCTTTGGTGCGGTGCGGTGAGACATGATTTACCTCACAGGTAAAATTTACCAAAAGATGAAACAATTAACCCTAACACTAAAAATCGTTCCTAATTCTAATAGCATTGATTTTTCAATTAATTTAATTTATGAGTACAATCATCGTGTGTCTAGTATTAATGGCTACTTCATAAGTCCTAAATCTTCTTTATTGCGCAAATGTATCACGTGTTCAGAATACCTTATCTTACAGGCTACACCGTCCGCGCCTACAGCACCTGTGGCAGAGCCGGAAAAATCATCGTCAAATCAGAAAATCTACCCACCCTTACCAGAAGAAGTAAGAAACGAGTTTTATCATCCAAATCCCAAGATTCAGAACGCCGTAGAAGCGATGATGGCAATGGGATTCACCAACGAGGGTTCATGGCTTACCCATTTGTTAGTTGCACAAAATGGTGACATCGATAAGGCACTGGACGTAATACATCCTGTACGCCTTCATTAGGAGAGATGGGGCCAAAATTTTAGTTAACGATAGTTTACATATAATTAACAACAAAAATAACAGTTAACATAGTCTATGCTTTCCATGGTTAGTATGATAGTTTGTAATTATTATTCATTATATAGCGTCTTTTTTTTATGTTGGATTTATTTTGCATACACTATGATTATTTTAAAAAATTTGAGTGATACACAACGTTAAAAACTTATTTTTAATAAATTATCTCGATAATATTTCTTTGCATCTATATTGTTAATCGTCTGGAAAACGAAAAATCTGGATTAATTCCCAGTCCAGAGATAATTGCGCTTGATAACTCTCGTTCTAAGTGTTACCTGTATTACTAAATTTATGTTGCACGTACATACTACGCTATTGTTTCAGAAAATGTACTACGATTTCGTTTATGCAATGTATGTTATACCTATATTCTTAGTATATCAATATACCTTTTACGTAAGAAACTAAAATATCTTTGGTGACTGGAATATTATGTACTGTTATGTTTTATTTTAATAAAGTGACCATGATATTATGAAGGTAAATGTTTCTTTTTAATTTCAAATGCTCTATTAATTAAAAAAAAATATCCCAAGTTTTTTTTAGGTTAAAAGTAATATTTATTAAAACCAAAATGCTAAAAGCTTCAAAAATTTTATTATAAATATTTCAATATTCAATTACTTTTATAAGAATTTACAATGATCCATTAAGACCATCGGATTTTTATTAGTAACTAATTCTAATTCTCTTTGACCGCTGGGTGTTATATTCCTGATCCATTTGCGATCCTTATAATATTCTATCATGCTGTCAAATTCCGCGGGGTTGTAGTCATCGACTACAATAGGAACAAAAGGATCTAGATGTTCAAAGCCTTCTTTGCCGAGCAAATATCTGGGAAGATAGGAGTCTCGTCGTTCCTAAAAATAACAGATTTTTTTCTTGTATTATCATGCATCTCTCTCTATTCGTTTAATGCTAAAGATTTTCCTGAATTTTAGTTTAAATATAAAACAGTAATGCTTCCTTTATCGCAAATCCAACTATTAAATTAAATTTTATTCGGATAAAGGAATGCCTAATTACGCAATACAAATTGTTGTATGTACCTTATTTGCCTTTTCATCTACTGATAATACAATTGCACCGTTACACCAATCATCTTTTGTTATATCCCAAAACGGTCTCGCCAGCGATACTTGTTTGGGCAGAACCATCACCTTGTTATCGTCAAAGATACGCGTATAATTCGCTGTAAATGCGTTAAATCCGTCTATCATGACCATTGTCTTGCACTTCCCTGCAGTACTGGCGAGCTTTATCTCTTTTATCAACGCATCCACCACGCCACAAGCGTACTTCATGCGATTTATGCCAAAGTCGATAAGTTCTAGGATGGGAGTACCTTGGGAAGTAGTTTCACGTTGATTCCAAACATAATCCTTGGTTATTTTAAGCTGTAAAACAAACGCACATTAGATATAGTATATAACCAGCAAAGTGATATTTCAGGAGATACATACGTCTAATTGTGAAAGCAACTTCGAGTTTTGAGTTTTGAACTGTCTCAACCACAGCCCAGCGTCGATCGGCAAATCCATGCATCCTGGAGAGAGTACCGAAGTTGCAACTTCCTTCATATCTTTGAACCAATGTGCACCTGAGAAACAAATGGCACTTAGTACAGTTTAATGAGATAAAATGTAATAAATCATTTATAAAAAAAAACATACCCCAATATATATGTACAAGTAAATAATTCTGCATAAAAGTATAATGCAGTATGTGACTCAATGTAATGCTTTTTCCTGTTCCAAATTTCCCATCTACTTAATATGTAAGGACTTTCTTATATTAATTGTTGTATAATGTTGATGCTCTTTTGTAACATAAAGTATATCCATAAAAACAGTATACTGATGATAGAAAAATAAATTATAGAAAAAAACAGAGCAATTCTACAATCTTGCAATATAAAACAAATAATTTCAACATTAATTCATATCCAAATTCAAATAATTTCATATTTAACCAATTTCATATTCAAATAATTTCATATCCAAAAGGATACATAATACATATTTATTAACAGGTCTTGTATGATCGGTTTGGCTGAGATAAGACATAACTTCGATCGCAGGTTGTCTAACCAATATTGCACACTCTTGAAAAGTGATGACTTGCTTCATAAATAAGCGAGGCAAGCCACCATACTGAAAGAGTTGTTGTTGAATGTCTTTTGGCATTGTATAAAGTCTAGCAATGTGATCTGTATTATGATTAACTGGATTGTTCTCCGTTGTGCGAAACAAGCATGCTTGAGACGCTTGCTCGTCCTTCACCTTAACAGCTGTACCGAATTTTCTACCATATGTTTTATATATTCCCCTTAGAAGCGAATCTGCAATCGGAATATTTATTAAATCTTTGTGTCTCTTTAGAATATTTCCGACAAAACTCAAGTTAAAAATTACTCTTTAATTAACTGAATCAACAGAACTCTTTAACCAAATTTCTAGTTATACAATTCATTCAATTCGTTGTTCCTAATCTAATCTTTCTTCTTACGTGCCATATAGCAATAAATTAATAATTCTGTAATCACACTAATAAAGTACTATAGATATTATTAGTGATATCTATAGCACTTTATTAACAAGTTAATCGATTAAGTCAATTTGAATTTAGCAATCATTATTCGTATGATGACAAATGTCATCTTGCGGATCAACTTATTTTCGCTGTCATTAATTGCACAGAATCATAATCACGTAAACCAAATTTACAAGAGAAAAAACAACTAGGCTACAGATATTACAAGTATATGTAGAGTATTATTGATCGAACTAATATTGATAAATTAAAAGTCAACGTATAAAATCTTACATGAGCGTAAAGACATTGCGTTACTTTTTTTCTCTTTCAGAACAAAGCACGTTTGATTGTAATTATCTAGAATTTCCGAAAAAATTTAATGCGCCCCACGACGTTATATGTACATTTGACATAACCTTAAGTATGCTCCAGTATGCTCGTCCTCGAGACTCGCCTCGAGATGAATTTCGTACGGTTCTGCGCAGGTTCCAAATGCGACCATTTAAACATATACGTCGCGGTAATTTTGAAATGACAGCTTGAGACACCAAAATGAGTACTTGCCAAATAAAAACATGTAAAAATAATCACCCAAAAGAAGAATCCAGAAATATACATTTTTATCGTATCCAAAAAAAGGTATTAATATTAAATTGGGAAAAGCTTGTAGAAAATTAAGTTTTATTATGACAAAAGATAAAACCAAATGATCGTTATAGTATATTAAATTTATATTTATATATAGTATATTATATTATATTATACATAAATAAATATAATTAAAAACACAAAAATAAGTAAAACAATAATGACATAACGCCTAGAGGCGTATCTCGTAGGTAGTTATGACAAAAGATAAAACCAAATTCATTAGGTGCATTCAGTACTACAACCATTTATTACTGAGCGCTTAGTGAGCGGTCAGTATTAAATGCATCCATCCCATACAGCACAGTAACGTTTTAAAAATGTAATTAAAACGTACATGTTAGACATTTTGGACTTTTTAAAAACGTCCATTTTAGGACCCAATAGACTAAAACTGGACCAAATTAATACATTAAACAAATTTTAGACCACAATCAAGACAAAATGATTCTTATATGAGTATTATTACTGATTGATATCTTATTCCATAATACATCATAAAATTATAATAAAAAAAAAACGTTTTTCCCTGAATTCGGGAACTAATTTTATAGTGCTTCGAAGCGGTCACCCATCCGGTTACATACCGCCATCCACTATGCTTGACTTCTGAAATCGGATGGAAACCGCTACACTTCGATGATCCACGAATACCTATATGTATAATCATGGATTTATAATTACGATACATCTGTTCAATATGATCCTGATAGAAATTTGTGCAGTTCAACTGAACATCCAGTCAGTGACTGTCTAATATTTAATCTGAATGTCATTACGACTATTTTCAGGTTAGGAAATCATATGCTGTACTTTCACAGTACCAGTTATCATGTACAATAACAGTATGGTAGCATTTTGTGAAGATATCGTGGGATATCGCACGCTTGGTTTTCTGGGTAGATTTTTTGTTGTTGAAAATTTTCAACACAGCACAATGTCTTAGGGACGTCCATGGGACGTTCAAAAGATGTACATACTAACAAAAGTGAAATTCCTCATACGGTTTCAAAAAAATTTTCACTTGTCAAGTCAGCGAAGCAATACGTCGCGAGCAGATTTAGAAAATTTTTTGTATGAGATGAACATTTTTAAAATGTCCAAATGTGAACATACTTTGTACGTTGAATAACGTACGTTTTTAAAACATTCGTACTAAGTCCATGGACGTTCGGACTAAATAAAAACCAGATTTGGACATCCAATAGACGTTGTGTTCTGTTTGGGATTATATTATATATATTGTATAAGCAAATATATACAATTAAAAAATAATAATGATATAACGTTTAATTCAAATAATTACAGCAACATGATGGCATATAGGCTGCGTTCCGTTTCACGCATAATGCATATGGACGTTCGGACTAAATAAAAACCAGATTTGGACATCCAATAGACGTTGTGTTCTGTCTGGGATTATATTATATATATTGTATAAGCAAATATATACAATTAAAAAATAATAATGATATAACGTTTAATTCAAATAATTACAGCAACATGATGGCATATAGGCTGCGTTCCGTTTCACGCATAATGCGCATGATGTATTATTTTATCCTTGTCGTTCACCGAATGTCAAACGAGAATAAAATGATACATCATGCACATTATGCGTGAAACGGAACGCAGCCATAATGGTCACTTTCTCATTGGTTGCACTCAGCAGAATATTTATTTTGCAACTGTTAATTGTTATAGAAATATTTATACAACTTTCTCAAAAACTTTGTAACTTTTCTTACCACCGTACTGCAACTTAAAATCCGGTAAAAAAATGTCATGCATGAATATGTATAAATATGCATAAACATACATAAACACGTATAAATATTCATAAACATGTATAATTATATATGAAATATGTCCATACATGTGTTCCTACATCCTTCTTTCTCT